TGGGCGGCAATCGGAAACATAAAAGAAGCGGCTCATCTCGTATCGGACAAGAAAGTACGAGCTGACCTTTTCGATTCTACGGTATTGCCAGCACTCTGTTACGCATCCGAGACGTGGGCGGAGAACAAGACGTCATCGCTAATGCTGGTTCGCGCACAAAGAGCTCAGAGCGGACGCTGCTGAAGATCAACCGCGCAAAGCAGAGAAGTCTTAACCTCCGCAGCGCAGACATGCGCTCAATGTCCGGCATCCGTGACGCCGAAGTGTACGCGTGGAACGCAAAGAAACGATGGGCAGGGCACGTGGTTAGACGCACGGACGACAGGTGGACCACTCGCGACACGTTCTGGTACCCACGTGAGACTAAACGCACACTAGGCCGTCCTGCAACGAGATGGAGTGATTCACTGAAGAGACTTCAGGAAAACGATGGTCAACACTGGTCCCAAACCGCTCAAGATCGTCAAAAATGGATGGAAGCGTGTGCTCGCCGCTGAGAAATATCAGCCGACAACGAGCGTCCAAGTATCCAAGTAAGTAAGTATTCCCTCCGGTTCATTTTTGGAACCACGTCAAAAACAATCAACATCTTGGACGTCAAAAACATCTCCACTATGGTTTTGAATGCGGTGGGCTTCTAGGGTGGTGACTCTCTTGATCGATGCATGTCATTTAGGTGCTCTTTGATTCTTACATGGAGGGGTCTTGCCGTTTCCCCAATATACTCATCCCCACAATCACGGCAAGTGATCTTATAGACCACCCCAGATATAGCGCAATCCCCTTCCCTGCCAGTTGGACAGACCACACAATTTGAAGTAGTACAGAAGCAGTCGTATGGTCGTTCCTTAACCAGGCGTTGCTTGAGATTGAGAGGTGATACATTTATAGTGGCCACCGAGTTCTCCAGACCCGACCTTTTAAGACATTTTCTAATTGCGGCGCTGACTGCATCACAGATAAATGGCAGTACGAAGGGAACCTTTCCGTCCATCAAGGTACTACAATTTCCTCATAGGACGCCACTGAAAAAAAAGAATACTGGTCGAAGAATAGCCGTAGCCGTTCAGTCGGACGATATCGCGCGCCATTTCCAGAGGTCCCTTTCGCTCATCCTCTCCAGTGCAGATCTTCAAAGCGGTACGAAACATGTTTCTAACAACTGCTCGTTTCGTCTGAAAAGGATGAGCTAAGCGACAATGGACAATGATGTTTTTATTGCTTGGCTTCTTGTACCACTTCTATCACCCTGTAACATCTCTTGAACATTTAGGAAAGGGAGCCAAATTTCAGTAGGTTTTCCCGTGTTAAGTTTATGTTCTCTGCCTGCGTATTGAGCAGGTCAAAACACACATCTATCTCTTCCTGCATTGAACAGACTATGAAGCAGTCATCTATACACCTACAGTAGAGTAAGGGGAGGCGCTCCAATACAGGCGCTTCTACCTTGGCCATAAAAGCTACTGCCAAAGTAGGCGCCAGTCGTTGCCCCATAGCTAAGCCTCTAGTCTGCGCAAAATACCTTCCCGACCACCGAAAAATGATACAACTGAGGCACTTCTTCTAAAGTGCAATCAGTTGAAATATAGACAGCCCTTGCTTATTGATATCATTGTGGTGCTGGCTAAGGAACTCGAGAATGGCTTCCATAGCAGACTCGTTGCTGACGTTCGTATAGAGGGCCTCTACATCAAAAGATTCCATAGCGCTCGAATCACCAGGGTGTGATGCGCCAAGGCGATCTAGGAACATTTGGGTGTTTGTTAGATGGGATGGTATAAACTGTAGAAGCTGCACCAAAATAGTATTAAGGAACCAAGCGATACGGTCAGTGGGGCCACCCACGCAGCTGATGATGGGACGAACTTCAACCGAAGTGGGGTTCATAGAAGCCATGTCTTCTTCGTCGAAAACTTATGTGTTTTTATCAGCAGGTACAGAACTGGACAGCAAGGAGATTCAATTTTGAGGCGCGTTATCATGCTGGAGCTCAATCCTGCTGATCGTGCTTCGGTACTCCACACCCGGTTTAGCCTACGGATCTGCGCTTGAAACTCTTTATCAGAGACCGGGCGGTAGAGGGAGGTATCTGCCAGGTGGTGTTCTGTTATTCCATGATCGAGTTGCCTGGGAATAACCACAAATTCGCTCCCTTTGTCACTGACTGCTAATCTTATGGTACGAGATTTTACCAAGTCTCGGAGTTCCCTTGCACCTCGCGCTTGCTCTCGGGAGATGTGAGATAGCGTGCTTTGCTTATGAGATCTACTGAGCACCTTGAAAACTTCGTCGATGAAAACCCGGAAATTGGCATCGGACTCTATGTGTTGCTCTTGGTGTTTGTAATACGGCGAAGGGGCGGGAAGGGGGTGTTGAGCACATTTCTGGCCTGTTCTGCCGCCAAGGAGCCGTTGTCTAACCTAACCTTATAACGGACACGGTCTTGGAATTCGTATAGGCTGTACATTACCTTTCGCTGACAGCTGTGGAAATGGGCTGTGATGGTGAGAAACTTGGACCGAATTTCAAAGCTGAACGAGCGCAGCCAGATTAGGGAAACCCTCCCAGCACTGTGACTCGTGATTTGAACGAGCCCTTCTGGGTGGTCATGTCGGCCTTATGATTTTCGAAAATGCGCTCGGTCAGGGCGCGTGATGACCCCCCTTTGACATTACATGTTGAACTGAAAAGATCATCGGACTTCTTTTGTAGGGTAGCTTTGACCTTAGAGCGAGTAGTATCACAAATTGAAATTGATCCATTCGCTATTCTCCTCCTGAGGCGATCATCCAAATATTGGGCACAACACTGCTCTTTCGACACGCACCTTAACATCATAGAAAACATGGTATCACGTTTCGCTCGGAGTGCCATCCTAAGTAACCTCATCTCGATGTCCAAAACTTTGGAGTCGCATTGTGGGCCACCAAAGAGATCACCCAACTTCTTCTTCGAAATAAACTTCAGTGAGCCAGGCAGCGGCGGAGAAAGTAAATACTTTGACGCGCTAAGACAATCCTTTGCCTCAGCGACATGAATTCTTTGACGAGCCGTTGGAGTCGAGTTGGCACATTGCGTAGTAATCTCCACTTACGGTTTCCAATGTACCTCGGCATGATTGAGCTTGGTATAATTCTGTGTTAAATTCCCACGAGGTTGTTATAAAACTTTATTGGCTGACGTCTCGGCGATGTCGCCTTCCTCAGAGCCTGAAAAGATCAAAAGAATTTGTGCATATCCGATCAAACGCCTCTGCAGCCCTACTGAAGTTCGAGACCCCCAGGGCAAGCACGTAATCTAAAAGAGTAACTTTTGGATTCTCGCAATCACCCAGCAACCGAGATTGGGACCAGAGTCAGCTGGGCTAGGTCTTCATCGAATCACTGTGGGAAGGCTAACCCTATATAGGGCCTCAGTTCTCGCGTAATTGTGAGGCATTATTCCCTCCGGGTTTACCTCCACGGTGACCTCAAAAACTCTCTATTTGGTTTTGAATGCGGTGGACTCCTCTCTTGATCGATGCATGCTATTTAGGTGCTCTTTGATTCTTACATGGAGGGGTCTTGCCGTTTCCCCAATATACTCATCCCCACAATCACGGCAAGTGATCTTATAAAGTGATTAGAGGTTGTGGGGGGGATGTGGTCAAATCCCTTATTCGGGCCGAAGTTGCATAGTGGTGGCAGTTCAAAAAG